TATGGTCCATCCATTAGATCTCTCCAAATCTACCCTCCATCTTCTCCATATTTATGAGGCATACCACCCTAAAAATTTATAAATAGATTCCCCTCTTCTGGCATGAATGGGGGCTGATACTTTTATTGATGTAGATCCTAGGTTAGAGACTCAAAAGTTCTCTAAGTCTTGAAGCATCATGGAGATCCACCTCAACACCAACACCTGCAAAAACTTGCCACCAGGTCATCACCGCTAGAGCTCTTCCCAACCATCATCATCGGAAGAATTGTCATCGAACTTTATTCCAATAGCCATCAACAAACCTTAGTTTAACCACCATCTCCTGATGGATATAGTCCCTCCAACCACCATCTCCTAATGACTATGATCCCCCCAAACTCTATCACCCAACAAATGTTTCTCTCTTCCTCAGTCACCATATTAAGGCCCATCTAAACTCCATCGCTCAACTATAGCCCTACTGACCGAACGAACAAGCCAAACTAGATTCTTTCAATTCCCATCATGTAATATGCTCTATATGATGTATATTTTCTATTCTTTGCCAAGGATTTCCCCTCAAGGAAGGGATTTATTTCAATCGACTGTAAACACTAGTAGAATCATTTTACTTGGCTAGTACTTATGGATGTTTCCCTTTTGGGGTTTTTCACATAAAAATTTTGGTCACTTATTACTCTTGCACCCCTCTATTTTATATACCTATGTGTTAGATCTTCGTAGAAAGCTAGGATGCTAAACTCTATATCTCTCAATGATCATGATTTCCTACAAATATTTTTTATTAATTCATTACGTATGAATTATGTAAAAGATAACTTATTATTTTGTACAAAAAAAATGATTTTGACCATTAACCATCATTGCTAGTTCATAATTAGTTGTCCATGCGATTTCATATATTATAATACATGCTTCAACCTTACATCAATAGTTAAACATATTTATTTATTTATGAAATGTAAGCATTGCATTATGTGAATGTAATTAATAACACAATCATAATCATTAAATTCATTTTTTTTAGATTCTAGCTATGTGCATAAGAATTAAGAGTTGTTTCATTAGATGAAAAATGAGTGTTAATGATTTTAATTATAAAAATATTTAAAATTTTGATGTTTGTTTTGATAGACATTTTTGTTTTGATAATTGACATTGATTCTCAAAATATTAAAATATCATCCAAATTTTATCTGTAATATAAAGATTATCATCATTGCTAGCAATAAACTTTTATTATCTTCTTCAAACTTCATGTCTTTCCATTGACATTAAATTTTCTATTATCTTCACACAAAAAAAGTTTCAAATGGGAAATGATTTGAAGCATATTATTTATGAATATTTAGCTAAATTTAAATAATTTTTAAAAAGGAGTAGAAGATTAGTCATACAATAATTATTTTTGCTTCATAAATTTATTAGGTCAAAGCAATGGATAAAAGTTGGATTAATCTCAATGATAAACATTTGCAACAATATAAGGATGGAGTCACGACATTTATTAAATTTGCCCATGAAAATTACCCTCAAAAGGAGATGATTTAGTGCCTATGTTGATACTATGCAAATGCCTTTTTTCAGACTTATAGTGTCGTAGAGAATCATTTACTAAATTAATGGAATGCAAACATCATATATTGAGCGGACATGTCATGGGGAAACATCTCAAGCTTTCAGTAATGCAAATTTAGGCAGAATAGATGTGAATGATCTTAATAATACAAATGAAGAGGTCATGAGATGCAAGAAATCTTAGAGAATTTGCATAGGGGAACTTTCATGAACTCTTCTCCTAATAATTCACCAAATGGGGAAGATGATAATATTATCAACAAATATGAAACAATTATATTTGATAGACTATTGAAGGATGCACAACATGATTTATACCCTCGTTCTGATTTATCTATATTGTATGCTCTTGTAATATTACTACACATTAAAGTTCATAATCATTGGACAAATAAATCATTCAACATGATCCTTGAATTAATAAAATCTATCTTGCCAAAGGGTGAAACACTTCCATCTTCATATTATGAATCAAAGAAGATTATATCAGACCTTAGACTAGGATGTGAAAAGATTCATACTTGTAAATATGATTGTGCTTTATTTTGAAAAGATTATAAGAATAAAGAAGAATTTCTTGAGTGCATTGAATCAAGCTGGAAAGTTAATTATGGAAAAGGAATGAAATTTTCTCATAAAATTCTACGCTATTTTCCCGTTACATCTTGATTACAACGATTGTTTATGTCAAGAAAAATGCTCATGAAATGAGGTGGAATAAGGAAAACCAGATTGTGGATGAAGTTAGTGCATCCAGTTGATTCTAAAGCTTAGAAGGATTTTGATATTAGCTTTTCTTGGTTTGCAAAAGATTCTCTTAATGTACGCCTTGGATGAGCTTCGGATGGATTCAATCCTTCTGATAATATAAGCACTTCTTATAATATGTGGCTCGTCATTCTTATGCCATATAATTTACCCCCATGAAACTATATGACACTATTAATTCCTAGTCCAGTTTCCTCTAAGAAAGAAATAGACGTGTATTTGAAGCCCATTATAAAAAAAATTAAATGACTCATAGGTGAATGGTATTAAAACTTATGATTCTGTAAGTAGGAATACCTTTCAAATGTATGATGCTCTTATATGAACTATAAATTATTTTCCAGCATATGGTATATTGTTGGGTCTTAACGTACATGATTACAAAGCTTGCCCAATATGTTATAGTGAAACTTCTTCATAATATTTGCGAAACAAATTTGTTATATGGGTCACAAATGCTTCTTGCCTAAAGAGCACAAATAGAGAAAAGTAAGATGTTTAATGGCAAGCATGAAGTTAGAGTGATACCTCAAGTTTTATTAGGAGATAAAATATTATCAGAAATGGAATCATTAATGAATTTGAAGTTTGGAAAGTATCCTAGCTATGAAAAAAAAGAAAATGTAACCTTCATTAATCAACTTTGACAAAAAAAGTGTATTTTTTGAGTTGTCTTATTAGAGAAGTCTCACGTTACGTCATAATCTTGATGTAATGCACATTGAAAAGAATATTTGTGACAACATTTTAAGGACATTATTAATTATAGAATAAATGACAAAGATACAGGAATGCTTGTTTGGATCTACAAGATATGGGCATAAGGCATGAATTACATTTGCAAAAATAAAATGAGAAGTATCTTAGACCTCCAATTTCTTACACACTATCTCCAAAAGAGAGAGAATGGTTTCTCAACTTTGTTAGATCAGTAAAGTTTCCAAATGGTTATGCAGCAAATATATCTAGATAAGTACATATTCAAAATGGTAAGCTTATGGGATTAAAAAGCCATGATTTTCATATGCTGTTACAACGAATCCTTTTTTTTATATTGTGTGGATATTTAAATAAGGATGTGCATAATGCTTTAAGTAATTTGTCAAGATTTTGTATGATATTATGTGCTAAAACATTAAGATTGGATGTGTTGGAGTAATAAGAAGATATGACCATCGATACAATTTGTCGGTTTCAAATGATATTTCTACTAGCTTTCTTTGACATAATGGTTTATTTGACTGTTCCTTTGCCTCGTGAGGCTAGGCTTGCTAGACTTGTTCAATATAAGTGGATATATCCAATTGAAATGTTACTTCTTGTGCTAGTAACTTTTACTTTTTTATATATTTATATTGGCTATTTGCACAAATTTTGATTAAAATTTTTTATACGCTAGAAATCTAGATGTTCATAAAGGGAATGTTAGGAACAAAGCTCACCTTGAAGAATTAATTGCATAAACTTATATTGTTAATTAAGCATTGGCATTTTGTTCTAGATACCTCCGTGGCATGAAGAGTAAAAATAATCAAGATGAAAAATATAATTATGATATTCATTTGCATGAAAATCATCTTTTAATTTTCTCAAGAAGAATTCATCCTTTTGGTCAACCACTCTTCACTACATTATCTTGGAGTGAGTACAATTTAGTTCGATGACATGTTCTTAACAATTGTGAAAAGCTAAAGCCATACCTTGGATACATAATTAACTAAAATATTTATGATATTAAATTTTTTAACAAATAATGTATTAAACTGTAATTAAATTTTATAAAAATTATGTGTCAATAAATATGATAATGAGCTAAGAAAATAATATCATTTATTTAAGATGTGGCAACAAAGCAAAAAAGATCAGCTTCAATTATGATTTGAACAAAGAGTGAAATATTCAATTTTTAATTTTGTTTACTATTTATATTTATAATTTTTTTCTAATGTTCACAATTTCATAAAATTTGATCATTTTCTTGCTTCTAGAGCTTGAATCTTGATGAATCACTTGAAGGTAACGAAAATCTTTATTTCCTAAATATTTGAGTAAAGTATGTACCAAACAAATGCCTAAACTATTTGCTGCAGGAAAAAGACAGGAGGGAAGGGGCAACATTAGCAAAACAATTCGCAATAAGACGCAGGAAGCAAGTTTATCCTGGAGCCTTTCAATTTGAGACCCAATCCATGAAGATCCAAAACTCAACAAATGAGGAATAACAAAGGAATTGGATGTGTTAAAATAAATATCAGAAATAATTCTTTTAAGTTTCAATGCCAAGCCTAAAGCCTAAAACCTCGTCAACCAAGCTAAATTTCAAAAAATGTTTAACAATCAGCTAACCAAATTTTACTTATTAAGATATGAATTATCACATTTATCCACTTAATCACCATACAGCAACCATAATACAAAACACCTTCGATCAATACTAATTTAAGATTATGACAAGAATGCGGTAATTACCTTATTAATACAAATTAAGATGCTAATTAGGTAATGAATTCAAGAACAGTCTGAAAGTGAGTTGCAGCTTACATGCATGCATAATAACAATATATTCCAGTAACCTGCCACCAAACACCAGAATAAGCCTTCTTGTGCAAAAATCTATAAGACGATTGAATATTAAAAGGGCAACCCATCCAGATCTAAAGCAGACATTGCAGACGATAAAGAGTTAGCATATCCCAACATTTTCAAACAAGAGAATAGTCAATTGTTCACGGAAAAGAAAATTCTCTGGTACAATTGACATCGTTGGAATCCACATGCAAGAATTCAAACAAATGTCAGTACTATTATTGGGCAAAAGAAAGCCCTATGGGTGGGGTACCTGCAGCAATCTTCTAAGAAGCTACAGAAATATGCCATCATCGTAAATGAATTCTACTTCAGCACAATTGACTTAAAAAATTGTGTTCCCCAGAAGCAAGACACTACAAAACATCAAACAATTATTAAAAAGATTGAAGGTTCTTTCTTAGGAACTTGACTCCTTGGAAATCTTCTCAGCCTTGGCAATGACCTCTTCAATACCGCCCACCATGTAAAATGACTGCTCAGGTAGATCATCATATTTACCGTCAAGAACACCCTGCCGACAAGAACGAAAAATAATTAGTAACAGAAAAAAAAAACGAATATGAGTATAATATAATCTCATCCCAGATCATCACATTTACCAAAGGATATCATTCTGCCTGGAAAACGATTTCTAGTTCAATCTGAAGAAAGATTAGAAGATTGCAAAAAAAAACCTAAGAGAACTCATAATCATAGAAGCACTTGTATATGTACCTAATGGAAACTGGATGTCGGCAGTACTTTTATTGGAATGTAATTTTATATGCTACTAGGGCGGATAATATTTCAAAGAAACATAAAATTTGTAGGGTCTTTCCTAACATTTATCTTTTACATTGGAACTTCAATGAAAAACGACCTAAGGGGTAAAAGAGAAGGTATTGACAAACATAATAATGAGAGATACAGAAGTTCATTTTTTTCCACTTGTGAAGTATATCTATAAGAATGTACTTAGGTTTTACCGTTTTAGTAAAACTAATCTATGGAAAACAAAGAAGGCAACACCAACATATTTAAGCTTAAAATACACACACGTATCATCTACGAAAGTAATTTCTTTAGTGTCATAACCACTTAATTTTATTTTATAAAAAAACCATAAAGAAATAAACATGAATATAATGGAATTTAAACTGTTAAGTGATTCGCACAATAAATCTAACAATATCATTATTGCATTTGTCAAAAATGTTGTTATCACATATCATAAATAACATGTTGTCAATTAGATCGCATACCATGATTTCTGCATCAAATCTGAAAAGATCAAAGATATCATGTTCATTGAAGATTTAGGTCCGATCTCTTAATGAAAACTATTGTTAGTAGTGAATCGCATATCATACTGCTAAAATTAAATAGAATGTCAAAAAAAATTTATAGGCATGATTGAATCATCAATCGGATACTATATGATTTTAAAGCCTCTAGAGCTAGACCTATTGATTGTGATTACAATAAATAAGGATAAGTTTGAATTTACAAACTTGATTGAATAATAAGCTTGTTTATTTCTTTGTAATCCAGAATGAAGAGAATTTGTAATAGAATTACTTTAAAGATTGAACTAGTCTAGGTATTATAGTCTGTAGATGAGGTTTTCTCCTTTTTAATGTAGTTTGTTTAAGTTTGGATTTAATCAATGCATACAGTAATTCCCTATTTAAGAGCTTAAAACTCTACAAAAAAAAAATCAAACCAAGTTCTAATTTACTTTTCTAATCATACAAAATATTACCATTGTGTTACAATGCCGGCCTAGGAGAGGACGGCTCAACCGATCCAAAAATGACCGGTTCAGTGTTATAGTCGGTGGCCCAAGCCTGGGCAGAACCCAGAGAGGAGGGGGAGCCCTAGTGGGGCCCATTGCTTAATTAAATAATGCTTAGGAGGGAAAATTTGAATGGAGGGCTGTTTTAGGGATTTTGTAAGCTTCCTTTGATTTTAATTAATCTTGTGGAGGCTAGGGTTTCGAGTATCTTGAGATTTGCTGAAATTTGAGATCTAGAGTTTGTTTTGTGTGGGCTCTAGGCTTTGCTAGAGATTTGGAGAGTATTTCTTCCTCTTCAATTGAAGAAAATTGTATATTGCTTTGTGTTTCTTGTTCGTGGATTGAATCAAAGTATTTCTCTTATGTTTTCTTCTCCAATCTACTATATTTCGTGCATGATTTTTGTTAATTTCTCTTTAATATCAGCCCTTTTTTCTCATTGTTTTTGCCAATTCCTGCTAGGTTTGCTTGTGAACTCAAGTATTGCCCTTAGGATTACTTGCGAACTCAAATACTTCCAATCAATTTGGTATCAAAGCGTTGTCTTGGGACAATCAGCGGTTGAAATCCAAAAATTTCAGCAAGGAAATTTCATCCGCAAGAAGATTTTCTCCTAAATCTTGGGAAGGAAAATGGCCGGAAGGAAAGTTAAAGTATTGGAGGGAGAAATAGGCCAACTAAAGACAGATTTTGAGGGAAAAATCGCTGATTTTCAGAATGAGTTTGCTTCCATCCATGAAAAGATGGATTGAAGGTTCGCCGACTTCGAAGACATGATAAAGAAGATGCTTGAAGACAAACAAAATCCGGCAACATTGGAAGCAAAGGAGACCACCAGCGACAATGGGAGAGGCGGAAATCCGAACTCATTTAAGAGGAAGGAGAAACCGGAAGTGGAGATCCTTGGGGGAAATGATGTTAGCATATTCATGAAGATAATGCTATGTGGGAAAAGATAGTTAGTGATATTAAAAATATTTCAAAAAATATACTTTCAGAATCAAAAGAAAAAAATTCATAATAGTAAAAAAGTTAGTGGTAGAATCAAAATATCCAAGAAAATATTAAAAATAAAAAATTTTGTTATAAAAATTGATTCAGATATAAAGCTCAAAAAATTGGAAAAGATATATAAGGAGCCATAGGGATTTTAAGAAAATAATATATAATGCAAAGAATTCAACTTTAAGTGATTATATAATAGATTATAGATATTAAGAAAGAGAGAAAATGTACGTATAAATTAGCCAAATAAAGAGATAGGAGAAGTAAAAGATTTAGTTTAAGTGAAGTCTATTAAGGGTGAAAATTAAAAAGTATTTTTACATAGAAAAAGATATTCAATATAGGTGGATGAGACATTTCGATAAACTTTTCAATAAATGTTGTGAGAATATGATTGACTTTAATGATCTTAGCACCCAAAATAAAACTAGATATTTTTATTTTTACAATCATATTAATATAACCAAAGCTTGAGAGGCTTTAAGAAAATAATGTATGGAAAAGCAATAAGACTTGATAAACTTTTCAATCATGTATCTTGCATTGCTTTTGAAGAAGAAATTCAAATTCAGCTCCCAAATTTGTATTCCAGCACTTTATTCCAATCTCCTTTGCTGATTCTTACCACAAAAATGCATCAAATTGGCATCAGAGTTTAAGGATTGCTTGTTGGAACGTTTCTAAGCAGGTCGGGAAGGAGACCTACACGAACAATTCCTTGTCTTAACTCAAAAGGGGGGCTGTCATGGTGTACAGGGAGAGATTTGAGTTTTTGTCAGGGAGGTTGAGGGGAATTTTGGAGGTGGTGTTGAAGGAAAATTTCATGAAGGGCCTCAAGCCCGACATACGAGCGGACATCAGATTGCTGAGACCGAGGGGGTTAAAGAAGACAATGGAGCTTACCCAAATAGCAGAGGATCGGAGATAATTGGAAAGGAGCAATAAGAGCGGGATTGCTATAGACTCTTACAGAAGTATCTCGACGTCACTGGCACCGCGGACCCAGACGATGTCATTTCAGCGGGATGCAACGTGGGAGAAGAGTGGGGGAGTTTGCCCTGAGGCCAACTTCAAGTGCCTCAGAGAGGCAGAGGTGCAGGAAAAGAGAGCAAAGGGGTCTATTCTTTCGTTGTGGTGAGAAGTATGCACCAGGTCATCAGTGCAAGGACCGCACACTCCAGGTCATTGTGGTTTGTGAGGAGACCAACAGTGATGATTTGGTGGAGGAAGCCAAAGAAGGGGAGCACATATATCTAGATGTGGCAGAAGTGTCCCATAATTGAGTGGTGGGTTTACTCCAAGTCACACTATGAAAGTGAGGTGGCAGATCGGGGAGTAACTAGTGCTGCTTTTGGTGGATAGTGGGGCTACTGTTAACTTCATCTCCAATCGGGTTATAAATCAATTGGGATTTAAGTTGGTGAATACAAGAAATTTTGGAGTCATGATGGGAACATGAAAGGTCGAGAGTAGAGGGATTTGTAAGAGGTTGGTGCTAGCACTCCAGAGCATACATAGTGGAGATTTTCTTCACTTAGATTTGGGGAGCACATATGTCATCCTAGGGATAATGTAATTACAAACAATCAGGAAGATAAAGGAGGACTGGAAGTCCTTGACTACAGAGATTCAGGTCGAGGGGAAGAAGGTGATGCTGCGAGATAATGCCAATCTATGCAGAACCATGATTTCACTCAAAATCATCACCAAGGCGATACAGGGAGCAAGGCTAGGCTACTTGATGAAGTTGTAGAGTTTGGAGGGGATTTGAGATTCAGAGTCGCTCAAGGTCCCTTAGTGTATATATCAGCTTCTACAGCAATTTCCTGGTGTTTTTTAGCAGCTTAGTGGATTACTACCACCTTGAGAGCAAGAGCACGCTATTACTTTAAAGTAGAGAGCTCCTCCTATCAGTGTTGATCATACCGGTACCCGCAGTTCAAATGGATGAAATAGAGAAGCTTGAGTCAGGGACTATCAGGCCCAATGTGAGCCCCTTTACCAGCCCAATTTTACTTGAGAAAAAGGACGGTAGTTCGATGTTTTGCATGGATTATAGGGCCCTAAATGAAAAAACTATGTTGGACAAGTTTTTTATCCTTGTGATTGATGAGTTGCTAGACGAGCTGTTTGGGGTGGTCATCTTCTCAAAGATTGACCTAAAATCAGGTTAGCGTTAGATCAGAATGAAGACGAGTGTGCACAAGACAGCTTTCAGAACTCATGAGTCACTATGAGTTTTGGGTGATGCATTTCGGCCTTACCAATACTCCATCCATTTTTCAATCCCTCATGAATTGGGTTTTTCATCCCTACCTCAGAAAATTTGTCTTGATATTTTTTGACAACATCCTGATGTACAGTCATATGAAGGTAGAGAATGTGAATCACCTAAGTACTGCACTAGAAACTTTGAGGAAGCACCAGTTGTATGCTAACCTAAAAAATGATCTTTTGCATACCCACAGGTGTACCTAGGCTATGTGATAAACAAAGCAAGGGTAACAGCAGACCAATCGAACATTGAGGCTATGCTGGATTGGCTTTTACCAAAGAAGTTGGGGTTGGATTGGCTTTTACCAAAGAAGCTGGGGGAGCTGAAAGAGTTCTTAGGCCTCACCGGATACTTCTGAAAGTTTGTGTGAGGGTCTATAATGTACCGACAATTCTCCTCAAAGAGGCATGCAGTGTCTGATACGTATCCGACACGACACACATCCGACACTCCTCCGACACGTGTTGAACATGCCAAAAATGTGTCCGATTAAAAAAATTTTAAATACAAATTGGATACCCATGTCCGACACGCTAACCTTAAATATTTAATGAATTTTTTTAATATAATTTCTTGAATTTAAAATCTTTACTTATTTAAAATCTAAATTTCTTATTTCAAATCCACAACACACCAAATCAATCATCCACACTTAATACCTCATTCATCGAATATTCTCATTTTCATTTCTCTTTGGTGGGTTAAAACTTTGATTTCACAATGATGCCCGATGTCATCTCAACATTAACATATGACGTCATTATAGCATCAACATTTCAAAATGATCTTCATATCAAAGTCTGACATTATCTTTACATTGATGCTCGATGCTAGCAATTTCTACACCCACAACTTGACATCTCATCTTTGTCCAATGCCTTCTCAACATCGACGACCAACGCCCTCTCAACATCGACAATAAACACCCTCCTAACATTAACGCCAAAATATTTACTGCATAACATCAACGCTCGACTCTCGACAGCATTTTCATCTCTCTCGATAAGAGATAAACGGGATCGACGCCCAACTCTCAACATCCTAATATTAATACCTTTAAGCACAATTTCTAGTTAAATGACTTGTGTTTCTTTATTTTTAAAATTATATTTATTCAATTTTTATACATTATTTTAAAATATAAAAATTATAATGCCATGTACAACCCGTGTCTGTGTCCTATACTTTCAATAATTGATGTGCCCCGTGTTCGTGTTCGTGTTCGTGTCCGTGTCGTGTCGTGTCGTATCCATGTCGTCGTGTCCGTGTTTGTGCATCAAGGGCAAGGGTATGGCACGATAGCATGGCCACTGATTGAGCAGTTGAAGAAGGACAATGGGGGGAGGTAGCGACATAAGATTTCGAGCAGTTGAAGAAAGCCATGACCAGAGTGCCAGTGTTAGCACTCCCTGACTTCAACTGGCCATCTGTGGTGGAGACAAATGCGTTAGGATACGGACTGGGAGCAGTGCTCATGCAGAATCATCTGCCCATCGCTTATTTCAGTCAGCTGCTCAATATTAGGGCAAGGATCAAGTCCGTATACGAGTGGGAGTTGATGATGATTATCTTGTAATCCAAAAGTGATGACCCTATTTGTTCAGATGACATTTTATCATCAGGACAAATTAGATGAGTCTGAAGGTTCTACTAGAGTAAAGGATAGTGACTAAGGAGTGTCTGAGGCGGTTGTCCAAATACTTAGGATATGACTTCAAGATTTAGTATCACCCAAGACTGGAGAATAAAGCCACGGATGTATTATCATTGTAAACAAACGATCCATAGTTAACAACTTTGTCAATACTTATGGTTTTAAATTGGGAAGCCCTGAAATGAGTGGGCAGAATAAGGGACTGAGGAAGATCAGAGATGAGTTCTTACAGAACCCAGACAGTCATCCCAGTCACACTGAGGGAAGCCAGCAGCTACATCAGGAGTGATTCATTTTACCGAGGAGGTTGGCATATATCCCCAAACTATTGCAGGAGTTTCATAATAGTGCAGTTGGAGGACATTCAAGAGCTCAGAAAACCTACAACCGACTGTCAGCGGAATTGTACTGGGTGGGGATGCAACGCGATGTAGAGAACAGGGTAGCCAGGTGTGATGTGTGCCAGAGACACAAGTATTTAGCTATGGCATCAGCAGGGTTACTACAGCCTCTAGTTCTACAGAAGAGGGCTTGGGAGGAGGTGACAAGGGATTTAATCAAGTTGTCAGATTCTGAGGGATTTTCAATGATACTGGTAGTAGTAGACCGTCTGAATGCACAATTCATTCCCCTGAAGCACTCTTACACCATGGTCTCTATGTCTACTGCTTTCATACGAGAGGTGGTGCACTTGCATGAATATCAAGAATCTATTGTGTCAAATAGAGATAAGGTGTTCCTGAGCCACTTATGAAAGTTATTTGATTTAATGGGGGGCAATCTTGAAGATAAGCACATCATACCATCCCTAGATAGATGGCCAGTCAGAGGTGGTTAACAAAAGTGTAGAGACCTATTTGAGATGCTTCGAATCAAATACATCAAAGAGTTAGGCAAAGTGGATTGCTTGGGCAAAATATTAGTATAAGGGTATAACACCTCATATCATTCAGCAACACAGACCATTTCTTTCAGGACTCTCTATGGGAGACTCATTTGATTCATTATAGGCATAGCACTACATAAGTATCCAATGTAGATCAGTACTTAGAGGAGAGGGTCATGGTATTATCTGAGCTTAAAGGACATATGTTGAGAGCCCAACAAATCATGAAAAGTATGGTTGATGAGCACAGAAGAAAAGTACACTTTGAGTCAGGTGACATGATTTACTTTGAGACCTTACAAGCAGAAGACACTAATCAGTAGAAGGAATGAGAAATTGTCACCACAATACTTTGGGCCTTATGAGCTTTTCGAAAACATTGGAGCAATGGCCTATTGATTGAGGCTACCACCATCATCATTGCACCTAATCTTTCATGTCTCATAGCTGCGAATGATGATAGGAGATCAAACATTATCTCCACCACCCCCGATTTTGACAGAGCAGATGGAGGTCATTTTGGAGCCCATGAATGAGAAGGCGTTCGTCAAGGGAAAACAAGATCACAGGAGGTACAAATCAAGTGGAAGGATTTGTCGGAGAACAAAGCTACTTGGGAGCTATACGAGATGATCAAAAAACAGTTTCCCTCCTTCCACCTTGAGGAAAAGGTGCGTCTTTAGGGGGAGTACTGTTACACCTACACCCTATGTGAGGGAGAGCCAGACGCTTGCTTCTGATCGACCGAACCTAGCAGAGCAGCTGGGTGGGAATCAAAATAGCAGGGAAGGGATTTTGAAACTTCTTATGGACCCCAAGAGAGTTAATATTGACTATATAAGGAGGAGAAATCAAGGGGAAAATATTTAGGAAAGTTTTTATTGTGTTTAATGGTGGTTATAGCTATTTAAAGGAGATTATTGGCTAGGGTTAGGGGGTTATGTTTTCACTGTAATTTTTTATATGTTTATGAGTTCCTAATGGCGCCTAGGGTTGTGGTAGAGCTAATCTACCTCTCGAATAGTAGATCAAGTGTATCTTGCATAGCTTTTGAATTAGAAATCCAAATTCAGCTCCTAAATTTGTATTCCTGCACTTTATTCATATCTCCTTCGCTATTTTTTACCATTAAAACACATCAGGTCCACGGATCAAATTGCATATCCATAGAGCAGAATCTCAAGCATAAGGAATCTAATAATATCACAACAAACGGAAGGACATAACACATGAATGACAACCATTAACATGCGTAGATCAGAATAACTTATCATCATATATTAATATTCTAATGTATGACATATCCAAATACTTAAAGTTATCATGCTGATATACTATTTTATCTTCTAAAATTAATGATTAAAATTGTTAAATCACAATAACTAAAACTGAAAATCATATAAAAATCCTTTTGATAGAAGCTACTTAGGAACTCTCAATTTTGTTAAGAAAAAACTTATGTCGGTATATCCTGATATATTTTGCATTAAAATGGGGTCATTATTATGAAAGGTTCTGTTAATTTCATGAATTTTTTGTTATCCCTAAATACTAATAAATTAGACAAACTATAAGAAAAATATATCTAAACTATTAGACAAAATAGCTAAACTATTATACATACATAAGTACAATCATTATAGAAAAAAATATTATGAATGACTAATAGTTTTGTTATATTCATCTAACAGCTTAATTATATTTGTCTAATAACTTAATTATATTGTCTAATAGTTTAGTTGTATTGAATGATATATGATATGTGAAATCAAGAACATGTGTCAAAGAAATAATCTTACCTCAATACAAAATGTATCAGAATACATTTATTAGCAGATTCATGTACTTAGTTGTTTTAGAGGTAACCATTACGCTCACTCTTGCACCCAGACCAAGGTATAGTTTTGTTCGGAAAAAATAATTGCAACTTCTTTAAAAAAATTTCACATATAGACAAAGAAGATAAAAATCGCTTGCAAAAAAAAAAGAAGACTCAACTTACAAGGTATCCTGTTTCTAGTAATAACTCTAAAATAATCACTCTATAGAAAGAAAGCCCAACCACATGCTAAGTTACTTTTCTCACCTGAAAACTACTGATACACTCCTTCAAGTCCACATACTTTCCAGGTGCACCAGTGAAAACTTCAGCAACATGGAAAGGCTGGCTCAGGAAACGCTGGATCTTACGAGCACGAGCAACAGTAAGCTTATCATCTTCACTGAGCTCATCCATTCCAAGAATTGCAATGATATCTTGAAGGTTCTTATAGTTTTGAAGAACCTTCTGAACACCACGAGCAGTGTTGTAGTGCTCTTCTCCTAAGACATGGGGAGAAAGCATTCTCGATGTGGAATCAAGCGGATCAACAGCAGGATAGATACCAAGTTCAGAGATCTAATCATGGAAAAGAAAACAAGTAGTTGAGATATGCCTAATTAATAATAAACAGAAGATTGCAATAGTTCAATTAGGCAATAAATGCTTGTACAAGAAAGGAGAACCTGTCTTGACAACACAGTTGTGGCATCAAGATGTGCAAAAGTGGTAGCTGGTGCTGGATCTGTCAAGTCATCAGCAGGGACATAAATAGCTTGCACAGAAGTAATAGAGCCCTTCTTTGTTGTTGTGATGCGCTCTTGTAATCCTCCAAGGTCAGTAGCTAGAGTCGGTTGGTAGCCAACAGCAGATGGAATACGACCAAGCAAGGCAGACACCTCAGAATTTGCCTGAAGACAAATACACAAGCATGCAAATATAAAAATTTCAAATGCTAACAACAATTTATTGTTCTCTGCACATACCTGAGTGAACCGGAAAATATTATCAATGAAGAGCAGCACATCTTGCCCTTCAGCATCACGGAAATACTCAGCCACAGTAAGTCCAGTAAGCCCAACACGAGCACGAGCACCTGGTGGCTCATTCATTTGCCCATAAACAAGAGCACACTTGCTCTCATCCTAGTATGCAAAAAAAAGTGATAACAAAGTCATACAATCAAAAGAAAGAAAACAAAACAGGTAAAAAATATAGCCTAACCTATGTAATAAAATGCTCACTTGCTTATCACCAAGCTTAATCACACCACTTTCAATCATTTCCCGGTACAAGTCATTGCCTTCGCGAGTTCGTTCTCCAACGCCAGCAAAGACAGAAAACCCACCTGAACAAAATAAATTGATTGATTATGTGAGCAGTGATAATGTTAGAGAAAAACAATAGAAAGTACTTTTTCTAACAAACCATGAGCTTTAGCAACATTATTAATAAGTTCCATGATAAGGACAGTTTTCCCCACACCAGCACCACCAAATAGGCCTATCTTACCACCCCTCTGATAAGGTGCAAGAAGATCAACAACCTAAAAAGATAAACATCAATAAAAACTGAACTTTTTAGTAAGGAAGTATCAATACGGCTTAAAAGACACTAAGATTGTCATATGTTATCAGACTTAGGGAGCATTTATAATGCACTACCTTGATACCAGTAACAAGGATTTGCTGCTCTGTTGCTTGATCAACAAAGGCAGGAGCCTCGCGATGGATAGGAAGGAAGTGATTGGTCTCTATAAAGAGTGAATGAAATAAAATACATGATAATCATATTTAAAGATGGCCTTATGGACCTCAATCAAACTGGAATACAAAAAGAACTTACTTATTTCTCCCCTCTCATCAATAGGCTCTCCAATAACATTCATGATGCGGCCAAGGGTAGACCTACCCACAGGTACCTAGCATATAGTTAGAAATAAGCCAGTGTCAAATGAAATTTCTTATTGGATCAATCACAGAAAACATACATTTGACGGTAATAATCTTGAACTGATTCACAATAAGAGAATAAACAAAAGCACAGCCGAACATATTAAGCATAAATCTAAGAACTAATTTCTTCTAATTTCAATTAAAAACAAACTCTATTTTATACAAGAGAACAATTTCATATGAAATGCCCATAATTACATCCCAATATAAGACCACAACAACAGAAAATTCATCAAGGTAAATAGAAAGAATAAATAGCGAACCTAAAACATGCGTACCTTTCTCAATCGTCTTCATGTAAAACGTCAGAAATAGCACAATCAAACCAGATACAACTATAATATTATAAATGAAAGAAATCAATTTTCCGCAAATAATGCCGTAGAAAGAATGATATAAAGCATTAGAATTCCCTGTGGAAAGAAAGATCAACATGAATGCATCAATGTTGTTTAATGAAACGAAAATTTTGAAATGGCGCTAATCAAAACTATAAAGCACGTTTTAAGATACCAGATAACATCGTTTCCATTATTTTGGAAACCTTAAGCTCGGAATGACTAAATGCCAAAACATAAACGTAAAAGACCTATCCATGAAAGAAAGGGGACACCAAATTAGGAAAAAACAGCAAATAGGATCTTTATTTGGATCAAGAGAATACGGTAATCGGTGATCCGGTGTTCAACACCCTCTGTCCCCGCACAAGCCCCTCTGTTCCGTCCATAGCGATCGTCCTCACCATCTTCTCACCCAAGTGCTGTGCCACCTCCAAGACAAGGCGGATTTGGTTGTCCAGCACCTCGAGAGCAGTCAGGATCGGCGGTAGTCCTTCATCAAACCGCACGTCAACGACGGCTCCGATCACTTGGCATACACGGCCGACAGCGCCAGCGCCAGTAAACTCATCTGTGACCTTGCCACTGGGACCACCCGAAGCTTTGGCGGGCGATGGTGGGGAAGGCGCAGGCGCAGCGGCGGCGGTAGCAAACTCGACGGCGCGGGAGAGGAGGAAACCAGTGGGTGAAGGGCGAGAGATCGGAGATGGAATGGGAGGTCTGGGATTGGGGAAGGAGGATTTGGGAGATGAGAAACGGCGAGAGGAAGCGCGAAGTAAGGAAGCGAGGATCCGCCGTGAGGCCATGGCAAGCGAGAGCTAGGTTAAGCGACTGCTTAGGTTTTCAAAGGGAGAGTATGCAGCATTTGAGATCTGGTAGGGAGGCAGCTTAGCTTCCGGATGCCATTGAGATATTATTGGGAAAATCATGGGCTGGCAATTGTTTCAAATCAGAATGTGTTGGGCTGGCAATGTTTTCGAATGGCCTATGACCCCGATGCCCAAAAAATCCAGCAAAAGTTTAGATGACTTTCGGATTATATCGTTTAGTACATAGTGTACACAAAGTTTAATGGCAACTATTATTTTTTTATGAACAAAAAAGTTTCTCAATATATTGAATAGAGCATTTATTTAAGGGTTGTCATTTACTTAGAATTTCTTTTACTTCATATTTTTCTGTTAAAATTAAAATAAAAAAACTATTTTTCAAACATAATTGAAAGCAAATCTTTCTAAAATAACCAATAATATTTTCCCATTGTTTCGTTCAAATAAATATGATTTGATATTTTTTTGGGACATTTAGGTCAACTAAGGCTAATTCATGCACACATCATATGCACAAAACTCGAATATAAAACCTCTTAGTTGGTAGTCAAAATTCTCAACAAACAGATCAATATTAACTGTATATAATTTGGTATTAACTATTCTTATCATAAAGATAAAAAAATTTACTCAGTTTAAGAATTCATTTATTCACCAAAAAGTTTAGAAAAAATGAATTTAAAAAAAAAGTATTATAATACATTAATACTATGCACATACAATATATATAAAACAAAGAAATAATGCATTATGATGGATCAATGCGATGCACATAGATGTCTCAGCAAACTCTACTAAAACCTTAAGATGTTCAAAAGTCATGTAGATGGTGTATAGTAGCATGTAAAATTATGTGCTTATACCTTCACATTGAGCTTTTGGAGCATCAGGATACTCTATCTAGATCATTTGTATTTTATTTTACATTTGATATCGTCAATCTATTTGAAGTATAGATTGATAGTAATTAGAAGGTGATAGCTTTAGGCATTATGTCTAAGTTTTTTTCTAGTAAAATTATGTGTCAAGTTTAGTGAGATTTGAAGGAGCTTTAGGCATAGAGCTTTTCAGATTGTCATAGGAACTCTTGTCAAATGAAAAAGTATGTGTTGGCCTTTATTTAAGATAATGGGTGGTTTCTTCGTATACTCTGACGAGCGAAGGAAATTGACTCATAATAACAATTTGTTAGTGAAACTCTAAGTGAAGGGGAAGCTTTAGGTGCAGTTTTAGCACAATTCGGTGTCTTCATATTGTTCTTAGAAGTTTGAATACTCCCTAACTTTATCATATAATATATATTATAGTTCACTAATGTGTTTGGTTTGATTAGTAAATGACATGCTTTTGTGCACTTAATTTTGAGTGAGGTAAAAATAAAATATAAATTTGAAATTTTCATTTTTTTTTTTTTTTGTGATTAAATATGATGTATAGAATAATATACTATCTCAAAAAAAATATATATATATATATTATATAATGGACTTAAAAATAAATATAGAATGTTTTGAAAAATATCTATGTTGTTAGATACTTCAACTATCTAATATTGATAAAATAGAATTCTTTTTAATGGTGAATATGTTCCTTATAAAGGGTAAGCCTTTATAATTAATTACATCTAAATCGAAGTGATCTCTTAAAAGCACTCTCAATGAAGATAGTATTACATTTTAAAATTTAGGAAAGGGTAATCTTTTAATGTAAGATAGGATATATCATTTTTTTTAAAGAATTAGGTATTACAACTTAGCTACTGAAGCCAAGCCCAACCATTAAGGATATATAAATATTCTAGCTAATACAAAATTTTATATTTGGTCCTAAAAACTTTTTATTTTCTTTGAATTCATAAGTGTTATATTTAGTTGATTTTATTATTTCTTTATCTTATAGAAACTTATTGGTTTCTAAAAAAATCAATCATCAAAAGAAGTACTAGTTTTCCTAAAAGAAAACAAGTAGGATTTGTTTTCACACAAATTTTGATTTTTTTGGTTACAAATCAAGTTTTGGTTTTAGTTGTAAATCAAGTGTGTGTTAATTGTCCATAAAATTCCGATTTTCTTTCTATTAGGTTCTCGATTTTAGTCATGTTTTACAATGAAATAAGTTTTATTTTGATTCATGTTTTACATTTGTTGAAATGGAATATTCTAATATAAAGCTGGTGTATGGAACACACGAAACCTGCAACAAATAAGAAAAACAGGAAGGAAGGAAGGAGCAGGGAGGAGAAGCAGAGAATTCAAGAAGAGGAGTTCATATTAAAACTGTATAATAATGTCTATCTTCTCTACAGCCCAGCATACTAGTATTATACTACGTAGTGTCTAAAGTAGTAAAAGGCTAAAATACTATCACTTAGCTGCACATGTGTAAAAGCAGTAAAGTCATAATAGAAAATAACAGAAAATGGTAGTGGAGGCTGTAGTTTGTTAGGAAAAGCAGAGTGAGTGCTGGAGAGGTGTGGTCCGTGGTTTAGCCCATCTCATGTTCCACATCAGGCTCCCCGGCTTTCGAATTTTCCTTGTCACAGGAAATGGATTGAATCTGGTGGTGAATAGGAAAAGATGTCAGAGACATTAAAAGTTGGAGTAAGATATTGTGGAGGCAGGTCAACGACATAAGTATTATCGTTGATTCGTCGCAGGATTGGTATGGGACCAACTTTGCGAGGACCGAGCTTTGAGTAGGAACCCGGTGGTAGCCGCTCTTTGCGAAGGCGAACCATAACCAAATCTCCCGGATTAAATAGCTTGAGGCGGCGTTTGGAGTCAGCTGCTTGTTTGTAGTTGGTATTGGCGGCCTCCAACTTGGTGCGAACATCAGCTAATATCTTGGCATACTCTTCAGAAGTCTTGGCAGCTATCTTGCTTCGACATTGCGGCAGTATTGTGATGTCTACCACATGGTTGGGGGTCTTCTTATAGACAATGCTAAAAGGACATTGCCCAGTTGAGCGATTGGCCATAGAATTATAGGCGAATTCTGCTTGGCCAAGATAATCATCCCATTGCTTTGGGTTCTCATGTGCTAAGCATCGTAGCATACTTCCCAGCGTGCGATTAACCACCTTCGTTTGACCATCGGATTGTGGATGATAAGCTGAACTCAGCTTAATTTCAGTTTGCAACCTTTTCCAAAGTTCTCTCCAAAAATGGCTAATAAACTTAACGTCGCGGTCGGACGTAATGCTGCGAGGTAATCCGTGCAAACGGACGATTTCTTTGAAGAACAAAATGGCAACATTTAGTGCATCAAAAGTATTCTTGCAAGGAAGGAAGTGAGCCATCTTTGAGAACATATCCACAACGACCATGATAGAGTCTGCTTCCCGTTTCGTTCCTGGCAACCCCAAGATGAAATCCATACTCAAGTCTTCCCATATGGATTGCGGAACTGGTAAAGGGGTGTAGAGTCCTGTATTTTGAGCATTGCTCTTATAACTCTGGCACACCGGACAACGTTCCACAAAACGAATTACGTCCCGGCGGAGATGTGGCTAATAGAAACGGTGTTGCATCTGTTCCAAGGTTTTTGCTTGCCCGACATGCGCAGCCAGCCCTCCACTGTGCATTTCTTTAATGAGATGTTCTCTCCAAGAAGATTCCGGCACACACAATTGATTTCCTTTAAATAAGAAATCATGCCTAATAGAAAAGTCGCTGACGGGTTGGAGAGGGTCTTGTAACAATTTGGTCCAGGGATCGGCAAAGTCACTATCGGTCGCATATAACTCCTGTAGCGCATGGATGCCCTGCACATCGGTTTGCAGCTGTGTTAGTATCATAGTCCGTCTGCTAAGAGCGTCTGCGACCCAGTTTTGTGCTCCCGACTTATGCCGCAATACAAAACTGAACTTTTGCAGAAAGGTTATCCATCGAGCATGCATCTTATTCACTGTTTTTCTGGTTGTTGATGAACTGGAGGGCTTGGTTATCAGTGTTCAGGACGAAGTATTGGTGCAGGAGATAGTGCTCCCACTGTTTTAAAGCTCGAATAACAGCATACAATTCCTGTTCATATGCTGACCAGTTTTGCCGGGCCGGACTCAGTTTTCCGCTGAAAAACTCAATGGGGCAGTCCTCCTGTGAAAGAACAGCTCCAACACCAACGGAAGAAGCGTCTGTGTCCACTTAGAAGGGTTTGGCGAAGTCAGGTACAGCGCGGACGGGCGCAGAACTTAACGCCGCTTTAAGCGTTTCGAAGCTCCGCTGTTGTGTTGAATCCCATTGAAACAATTTCCTTTTGAGGCAATCGGTAATCGGCGCTACAATGAGACTGAATCCTCGAATGAATCAGCGATAGAAATTTTCCAAGCCAATGAAGCTCCAAACATCGGTCGTTGAACGTGGCGTAGGCCACTGGGTGATCGCGGCCACCTTTTGGGCATCCATATGAACGTCGCGGCTAGAGATAATGAAACCCAGAAAGTGCATTGATCCTGTTGCAAACTCGCATTTAGGCAAGTTAAGGTATAGCTTATGAGTTTTTTAAATTTCAAAAACAGAGGTGAGGTACTGCAAGTGATCTTGAAGGGTGGGGCTGAATACTAGAATGTCGTCAAAATAAACAACGCAATACTTCCCCAAGGCCGGTCGTAGAATTTCGTTCATCAATCTCTTGAACGTAGCCGGAGCGTTGCATAATCCGAACAGCATGACGCACCATTTGAATAAGCCATCTCGCATCTTGAATGCCGTCTTCCATTCATCTCCCGGCCGGATACGAATCTGATGATAGCCGCTTCTGAGATCGAGCATGGAGAAAATTTCAGCCCCCGCGAGTTTGTCCAACATGTCCTCAAGACACGGCACAGGAAAAAGATACTTCACTATGATCTTATTGATAGCCCGGCTATCAATACATAGACGCCAGCTACCGTCTTTCTTTGGCACCAGTAAAGCGGGAACGGCGCACGGACTTAAGCTTGGTTGGATCAGCTTCTTCGCCAACAGCTCATCAACAATGTTCCTCAACGCCGTATGCTCTTGCGAACTCATTTTATAGTGTGGTAGATTGGGGAGCGTTGTGCCTGGTTGAAGATTGATTTGGTGTTGTATATCTCGAAGAGGGGATAGATCACTTGGTAATTCAGCAGGCC